TTTTAATTTTTTTAAAATCAAGATTAATATTCACTTTTTTTATATATTTATTTTAAAAAATTAAAAAATAATAAACATACAAAAGAAAATATCACAACCAAAAACAAAGAAGGGAGACTTTAATGCATATTTGGTATAACTGGTAAGAAGTGTTTTTAAAACTCAAAAGTTTCACCTTCACCAAACATCAAAACTTTTAGTTTTTATTTCAATTGTTGAGCAGTTGGTCTTGTCTGCTAACCTTTAAAAATCGAAAAAGCAAGAATCTCATGCTTTTGCAGGTGTTTAATGAATTTTACTTGTTTTTCCCATTTTACTCTCGTATCTTAATAAATTTACAACTAAACCACTATATATACCTCATCATTTATAGGAAAAATCCCCTTTTTGCCTTCTTCCCATCTTTTCCATCTGTTGAGCTCCTCTGTTCCAGATTCTTTGTTGTCTTTCCATCTCCTTCTTTCGATCTCTTTTCTTCTTCATTCTCACCCAATTGAAATGATTTACCTTATCCAGATCTTGCTGCTCTATTGACGCTTAGTTTTCTGACATCAATCCCAGATCTAATGGTGTGCATCAATCTTCAACCGGTAAGTATCTCTTTCTTTCAGTCTCTTTTCTTCTTCATTCTCACCCAACTAGAACGATTTACCTTATCCCGATCTTGTTGCTTTATTGAAGCTCAATTTTTTGACATCAATCCCTGATCTAGTGGTGTTCATCAATCTTCAACTGGTAAGTTCCCAAATCTAGTGGCTTATTATTGATTTTTCTAATTTTCTTAAGTTGGTGGTTTGACTTCAAAGGCTTTTGAATCTGTACTTTTGATGCCGTTTTGTTCCATGTATTTTATTGAATTTTTATTTTGGTGGAATTGCGGGTTGCTGGTGCTGTTTTTATATTGTTTGGTTATTAGGAAAGTGTAGGAAAACGAAATGAAATTGAAAATTCCATAGCTTGAGTTTAGATCCCAAACTATATATACAAAAAAAAATCTCGATTGGAGGCAATGCGAAGGTTAGGTGAGTTTGCGTTGTTGATTTGAGTTTGCTATGTTGATTTTTTTGGTATATACCAAAAATTATAGCAGTCAAATTAGAACTTCAATTACTAGTGCAAATTCATCTTTGTAATAATTAATATGTCTGGACTTTGGCAAGTCTATATCTTTGTCAATGGACACATTAGTTACCTTGATGAATCAATCAAGCAGTGTTAGTGTATTTTGAAAAGGAAATTCTTTATCTATATGCCTTTTACTGCTTTGTTACTCTGTTGAAGAGTTTTCCCTTTCAGACTTTTAAGAGCTAATTTCTTTAGTTCAAGTAATTTGGTTAAATGGCATGTATTTACATCCTTGCCTTTTTGTTTTTGTAGGATGTTGGTATGTGGTTGGAAGAGATAAATTTGGGTAGCTATCGCTAGATTTTTGAAGAAAATGGTGTCAACAGAGAATACCTAGAAGGCATGTCTATGTTCACAACTGAACAGATTCTCCGGTTTATAACGCGATGCCATATAAAGTGGGGTGATTTCATCACACTATGCAAGGAACTCAAACGAATAAAAGATCTCTCTCTCTCTCTCTCTCTCTCTCTCTTTCTCCTGTGAAAAAGTAGAAGTTACTTAAGTGCTTAAATGAATTTGCTTGATTGAGTCTGTAGAATCTAAATAATGAGAGACGTTCGTTTCTGTTGGTGTGTGTCTTCACCAACAAGTTATTTACATTTGAAAGATTACCAAAAATAGGATAATTGTTCCTCACTTCATCTTAACACAACTTGAGATACCAAGTTAAGTTGCATCTTTTCTATTTTAGATAGTAATCAGCAAAATGTTCCCCAGATGTGGTTGATTAGCTGATTGTACATGGTTTTGTGTATTTCATTCTCCAAGTGGTTTAATGATATTGCCTAGCAAGAAATAATTATGCTCTTGCATGCATCCTTCAAATGCCCTTTCTATGGTTGCTTGCCTAAAAGGAAAGCAAAGACGGCAAACCATAGGGGTGGGTATCAGTTCAGTTCGGTTGGAACCGAACCTAAATTGATGGTTTTAATCTGTTGATTATTTTGTAAAATAATAATAAAAAATTGAACCGAATAATATTTCGGTTATTCAGTTCAATCATCAAATTAATTGGTTCGGTTGACATCGATCTCAATTTTGAGCCATTCTAACCTCAGCCCTTAGCTATTTTTTGGGTTTGGGCCTTCCATTTTGTGGCCCAAATATCTAACATGTTTGAATTTTTGAGATTTCTTTTGTGAATTTATCTTGACTGACATGATACATAAATCATCTGAAAAGGAAAAATTTAGGGTTAAGGAAAAAACATGTGCTTAATTTGTTAAAAAAAATTAAGATTCTTTTTAGTATATTGTTTATACTTATAATTATAAAATTCTTTTTTATGATCCAAAGCCCATTTAGCTCTATAAAAAATCAGTTATTAATTAATGGATGATTTCAACAAAATGCAGGTATGATCAACTCAAATTCTGCAAAATTGAACAAGTTTAACCAAAAAAATTAAATTAAAAAAAAATCGATTAAAGTACCATTTGGTCCCTCAACTTTCCACTATAGCATCAAAATTGTCCCTCAACTTTAAAAATTACCAAATTTATCCTTAAACTTTTATCTTTGGTACCAAAACAATTTTTTTATTAGTTAAATAACAAGTGACACGTTAACTTGCTAGCAAATCAATTCTATTTTTTGCCTAACTAATGACATGGAAAAAAAATATATAGTTAGCCATCTTTTCTATGAGTTGGCATTTTCATTTAATTTAAAAATAATAATTTCTTTTTTTTTTCACCTACATCAGATTTCTTCTTCCTCTTTCATTTTCTCTCTCTTTTACCTTTCCTTTTCGCTTAACCTCGCAAACCCAGTCCTGAATTCTCTCTCAAACTTCATCTTCTTCTTATTCTTCTTCTTATTCTCTCTCTCTTTCTTCTCATTCTTCTTCCTTTCTCAAACCCAGATTTGAGTTTTTCTCAAACCCAGATCTGGGTTTTCTCAAATTCAAATATGGGTTTCATCACATAAATTAACAATTTGATGAAATTGATGATAATAAAAAAAGCAATACAAATCATTCCATTATATTAAATATAAGTGACAAAGCCATCCAAACTCATCTATGGTAAAACTAGGCACCAAAACTCAGAAGCAAAATTCTAGGGTTTCATTTTCCCCCAAATTCACAATTAGTGAATAATAGTCCGATTCCAAACACTAAAATGCAATCATGAAAAACACATAAAATATCTCCGTAACTTCAATAATTATCTCACATCTCCAAATCCAGATAAGAAATCTGGAACAAAACACTATACTCGATGTACCAAACCTAGTAAACTCATCGCAATATCTCCAATAAACAGGCTCTAACTCAACTAAAATTCATTCAAATTAGCACAAAGAGATCCAAAAGTCAATCGAAAACACCAAATACAAATTAAAGCTAAAACATAGCTTATTCTTTGCTAGTTATCAGGCTCGAACATTGAAGTCAAGAGAGATGGGGAGAGTAAGCAACATGAGTCGAAGAAGTCGTCTAGATGGTCAAAGACTGAACAATATCGTCTCTCCTAAGAGGAGGCAGCTATGGAGGTGGTGGCGATGGGGACACCTCGGTCTCCATTTTCGACGACTTTCACTACCAGTTGGATTTGATGACACAAGTCATAGTTGTGGACCTATCATCTTCTCGGGCCAATCTGGATTTGAGAAGAGAAAGAAGGCCAACGGTAGTAGTAGCATCGTCCACTCCAACGCATAGGCGCTGTGCTCGCTATTGCCGACGACGATGATCATCACATGCTTCTTGGCTGTTTGAGAAAAACCCAGATCTAGGTTTGAGAAAAACCCAAATTTGGATTTAAGAGAAGAAGAAGAAGGTCGATGGCAATAGTAGCATCGTCCACTCTAGCGCATAGTCACTGTGTCATCACATGCTTCTCAACCGTTTGAGAAAACCCAGAACTTGGGTTTGGAGAGGTAAGCGAAAAGGAAAGGTAAAAGAGAGAGAAAATGAAAGAGAAAGAAGAAACATGACATGGGTGAAAAAGAAAATTATTACTTTTAAATTAAACGAAAATGCAACTCATAAAAGAAAAAAAAAAGCCAATTATACTTTTTTTTTTTTCATGTCATTAGTTAAGTAAAAAAAGAATTGATTTGTTTGTAAGTTAATGTGTCATCTGTTATTTAATTGATAAAAGGATTATTTTAATATCGAAAATGAACGTTTAAGAATAAATTTGATATTTTTTAAAGTTGAGAGATAATTTTATTATCAAAGTAAAAAGTTATGAGACCAAAATAGTACTTTAACAAAAAAAAATTTCATAAACTCAAGTAAGAAAAACCCACTTTAGACAACAATATTAAACGATTACATACAAAAAAACTATACCCAAAAATTAATTGCTCCAATCCCCTCCATTTTAGGAAATCTAAACAAAAGTCAAATGCTATATGACAGCTACTGCGCAACCTCAACACGAAAAAAAGGAAAAATCCCAAAATAAAATAAAATAAAATAAATTACAATTCCAAATATAGAAAACCACACCTAGAACAAACCCATAAACAATAAAAATGTATTAGATTGTGATTAGGTGAATATACAGATTCTGGGCAATTTTTTTAATTAAGTTATAATTTACTATAACTTAAAAATATTAAACAAAAATTATAGAATATTGTGGGTTCGACATCATCATGAGCCCTATTGTTCTAGGCAAGAACAGTGCGAATTTAGTCTCTTTCACAAATTATCTTATCTTCTCCACCTAGCATTCTCCCCTTTTTCTCACTATTCTCTCCCCAATCCTCTCCTCTGCAGAACCAAAGCCTAAAAATTTAACTGAAGAAACCTACAGTTTTCCAGCAACCAGTGGTGATGGCGGCTAAAGAAAAGAAAAATAAAAAAAAAAAACTCAGTACACATATATATAACAAGGAGAGGAAGTGCGACCTTAAAACATGTGACGGTCGCCAGTGATTGAGGCCGCACACTGTGGTCATGAAGAAGAGATATGGAGAGAGAAAGAGACAAGAGATCTTAGTAGGGCTTTCATTTCAGATTTGTAAAGATATGAAAATAGATTGGGGTTGGAGATGGATGAGATCTTGGCTAACTATTAAAGGGAAAAAAATGAGGAGAGGAAGTAAGAAAAAAGAAAGTGAAAGTGAAGTGAGAAGAAAAGATGAGAGATTAAAGATGAGTATTCCATTAGAAAATTAGAGGGAATGGTTGAAAATTTCTAAATTGGGGTGGGGGGAAAGGTTTTGGCAGAGAGTTCGGAAGGCAGAGGAGGCGTGTAGATGAAAATTTGCAGGGGAAGCTGGGAGGGAATGAATGAATTACTCTAATTAGGGTTTGTCTTTTAGAATACATATATTTTATATTTCCTTAAAAAATATTACAGGTTTTCGGGTTTATTACTCGGTTGTTTGGTTCTTAGGTTTAGAACTGAACACCGCACCGTTTGTAAACGGTTGAGGTTTGAAACCTATAGTTGGGCCTAAAGCCCATTTGTTCCTGCACCGCAAGCCCAATTTTGGTGCGGTTGTCGGGCAACCGATCGGTTGCCCGCGTGCATGCCCAGCCCTAGCAGACCAAGCCATTGTTTTACTTGTCTTTAATCTTAACAACATTATTATTGACCCCTCTTTTCAATTTTTTCTGCTAGTCAAATTAGATGAGCTCCTATTTGAATTGGATGTTGAGTAGAAAGTACTATAGTCCTTTTATGTAGATTGTAATCTAGGTTGGTATGGTAGTAACTGACACAAACTGCATTTTCTTTTTTTTTCTTTTTTTTTTTGGTAAATGGGGATGATATCATTAAACCAACACAAAACAGAATACACTAGTTGTTCCTGGGAAATTCATATCCCATAATATCCAAAATACATCAAAGTTTGACATTAACGGGACAGTGAAGAAGAACAAAAAAATCCTGCTGTAATGAATGTCCCATTCTAGCAATTTGATCAGCAACCATATTCGATTGACGCTTGATATGAAATATCTGAACATAGGGGATGAGTTTGAGGAGATCCCTACAATCCAAGATCAGAGAACTAAGGGGATGAGAAATGCAAGCAGTATTCATCATGAAATTAAAAGCAGTACTGGAATCCGTTTCAACAATTAGATGAGAATAGGAATGAGTAACAACAAGGGCAAGGCCATCTCTCAAAGCCCAAAGCTCAGCAGCAAGGCTGCTAGTGATTCCAATTTTTTTGGCAAATCCAAGAATCCAACTACCATTATGATCTCGAAACAAACCTCCCGAAGCGATTCCACCTGGGTTCCCAAGGACAGAGCCATCTGTGTTAAGTTTAATAAAGGGAGAAAGGGATTTGGACCATTTAAAGAAAGAGGATCCATGAGAAGGAGGGGTTGGTAGGGATTGCCCTGCCCAGAATTCAGAGGCTTTCTCAAGGATCAGCCTTGTTGAAATGGTAGTACCATACGGATTCGATCTATGAATGAGCTGGTTCCGATGGAGCCAGATTCCCCACACAGCAAAACAAAAAAAACCACAGCCTAGGGGATATTGAGGACAACATTAGTGTTCATTTGGGAGCAGTTTGTTTTAAGCCAAGATAAAAAATCCAAGTTCAGCTGGTCTTGAGACAAAACACCAGGGAGAACATCAGAAAGAATAGCAACAGAAACAGGGCAAGAACGAATGAGATGCTCAACTGTTTCATCTTCCAAATGACATAACAGGCATAGAGGAGAGGAGATAATACCAAGTCTATGTAAAAAGGAGAAGCATTTTAAACGATCATGGGCAAGCAACCAAAGGAAGTATTGAATTTTTGGGTAAGTATAAGATTTCCACACCCATCTCCAATCCTCCAAAGGTTTAAGAGGGAGATGCTTTGTAATACAATAAGCAGAAGCAGATGAGAAAGACCCATTGGAGCTACCAACCCAGGTAAATGTGTCTTCTCTTAAAGCAAAAAGAGATATAGGAACAGCATGGATAAGAGGTTCAATGTCGGTAGGAATGGGATAAGCAATAAGATCAACAGCGGATGTACCAACATTGAAAAATTCAGCAACAGTGAAGAGCTCGAAGCCAGGAGTATGAGGACCATATATCCAAGAGATAAGTGGGATATCACAACACCAACAATTAGTCCAGAATCTCACATTCCCACCAGATTGTGGAATCCACTTAATACCAGCCTTAAAAATATCATATCCATTAATAATGGCTTTCCAAATAGGAGAGCCAGATGCAGGGAGGGGGGAATGACAATAAGAGAGATTATACTTATTGTGAAAAATATTACACCAAAGTTTATCCTTCTCCATGTACAATCTCCAGTTGAGTTTACTCATGGCTGCTAAGTTAGCTTCCTTGGAACTTTTGAGTCCCAGCCCTCCAAGAACCTTAGGTTGGGTGACAGTCTGCCACCCAACTAGATGAGTTTTCTTTTGGTTATCTTCTGATCCCCAAATGAAATTTCGAGATATTTGGTCTAACTCAGTATGAACTGAAGCAGGTAAAAGCATGGTTTGCATATAATAATTAAGGATAGCTGCTAAGACCGAAGAAGTGAGGGTGACACGACCTGCCAAAGAAAGGAATCTGGACTTCCATCCTGGAAGTTTAGCTCTCACTCTATCAATAATAAATTGACACTTACCTTTAGAAATCTTTTTTGCCGAAATGGGAATACCTAGATAAGTACCAAGGTCCTCCGTGCAAGGAAAGCCCAAGATAGCAGAAAGGGACTCCCTATTGTTAATAGACACATTTTTGGAGAAGAAAATCTTTGATTTAGCAGGATTCACCCGTTGGCCAGATCTGCTACAAAAAAAATCCAAAAGGTTTTTCAAGTAAACACAATTTTGAGGGGTAGCCTTACCAATGAATATGATATCATTTGCAAAGAACAAGTGAGAGAACAAAGGCCCTCTCCTACCCGCCTTAGAACCTTTCTAGTGCCCAGCCTCCATATCAGTAGATATTTTAAGAGATAAAAACTCCATGCAAATAATGAACAAATATGGAGAAAGGGGGTCACCTTGATGGATGCCTCTAGTTGGAAGAAAAGATTCAGTTTTATCTCCATTCACAAGAACAGAAATAGATGAAGAACAAACCATTGACATAATAAGATTAATGATGTCCATTGGAAACTTGAAGAAAAGCAAAGCCTCCCGAATAAAGCTCCACTCGAGCCTATCATAACCTTTCTCTAAATCTAGTTTGCATATCATATCCCCAATTTTACCTGTCTTCTTCTTGAAAGAATAAACTAATTCATGAAGAATAAAGACATTATCTGTACCTTGTCTACCTGGGATAAAACTTGATTGACAAGGGGAGATAAGTTTATCCATCCAAGGCTTTAGTCTATGAACAAGAATCTTGGAAATAATTTTGTAAGAGGTATTACATAGCCCAATAGGTCTATATTGTTGAATAGTTTCAGGGGATTTAACTTTAGGAATAAGGACCAAAAGGCACTCATTCCACTTTGCTGGAATAGTACTGTCCTGAAATATCTATTTGACATCATTGCAGACTTTATCCTTAACCATAGCCCAAAGTTTTTGATAAAAGAAAGGGTGAGTACCATCCGGGCCAGGAGCTTTATAAGGCTTCATAGAGTTAACTGCTCTCAAAATTTCAACTTCGGAGGGAATTCCACTGAGAGAATCCAAATTAAGGGACTCGTCAGTAGAAAGTTGAATAGTTTGAAAAGAGTCCATAAAGAAATGATCAAGTGTGGTGGAGAAAAGATCCTGGAAGAAATCAATAGCAGTTTTGGAAATGGAAGAGCTATCATGAATCCAGTCCCCAGCAATGTTCTTAAGCCCAAGGATCCTGTTCTTTGATCGATGTTTAATAGTGGATAGATGTGTTAGGTTCTCTTTGTATTTTGATGATGATTTTAAACCATGATTCAAAAGAGTTTAATCTATTTTTGTGCTAAGTGTGCAGGAAAATTAATCCAAGGTTTCTAATCTTTCCCCACGATTAGAATTAATTCATGTTCCTCCT